TCACAGCTCACAGCAACCTCCAACTCCTGGGCTCAAGCGAGTCTCCTGCCTCCGCCTCCCAAGTAGCTGGGACCACAGGTGCCCGCCACAATGCCTGGCTATTTTTTTTTGTTGCAGCCATCTGTTGTTTGGCTGGCTTGGGCTCGATTCGAACCCGCCGGCTCAGGTGTATGTGGCTGGTGCCTCAGCCGCTTGAGCCACAGGCGTTGAGCCAGAATCCAACCTTTTAAAAACATAACCTCAGAACTGATTATTACAGTATTTCTATCTTTTCTATTACACAAAACAAGGGCATGAATGCCAGGAGGGAATGTTTGGGGGTCATTCTAGAGGCTGTCCACCACAGTGAGTGAAGCAAATGTTAACAGAATGCTATATGGCATCACTTCATATTTGGGGGCAAACGTAGGACCAGCTAAGAAGCAAAAGCAGCTGACACTCCAAGTTCTGCAATTAAGAAGTGGGTCTTTCTTTTCCCAAGGCTTCAGGCTTTGTAAGAGGTGTGGTAATTGTGTAAGAAGGAAAGAACTAAGAATCCTCCCCTGCCACCCCCCCCCACCCCGCAGTGATTTCTTCTCTGCATTACAATTACCCTTGAAATTCAAACCTTCAGATCATAGGGTATCACTATAGACAGCAACCCCAGCATCCACAAGTATGCTGACAAACCTCACAATGGAAAGAAACTAGGAATGAGGACTGCACTATAATCAATCCTGGCTCTCTTGTAACTATCTGTTCTTAGAAAAGTCATTTCAGGTCGGGCACAGTGGCTCACGCCTGTAATCCTAGCATTCTGAGAAGCTGAGGATGGTGGAATGCTTGAGCTCACAGGTTCGAGACCAGCCTGAGCAAAAGCAAGACCCCCATCTCTCCTAAAAATAGAAAAACTGAGGTGAAGATTGCTTGAGCTCCAAAATTGGAGGCTGCTGTGAGCTATGAAGCCAAGGCACTCTACCCAGGGAAATAGCTTGAGGCTCTGTCTCAAAAAAAAAAAAAGAAAGAAAGAAAGAAAAGTTATTTCACTTGTTTGAAGTTTGGTTTCATTGCTTACAACGTGTATTACTACTGTCTTACAGCTTCTACGTTTGTGAGAAGTTACACAGCAGCAACAAACATTTCCAATTTTGCTATAGAGAAAACTAAGGATGTAAAATCTTTGCGTCTTGAATGACATAATGCCTCCTACTTAGGGAATTTATTTTATACTTCGTGAATGATCTTTTTAGGCTTGGACATATATGTGAATCATGTTTCACTGTTATGCATATATCAAAGCAAATCAATGAAGAAATAAATTAGTTTAATTCTTAGGGTTTTTTAAGTCTATTGTCCGACTCTTTTTTTTTGAGACA